TAGCCTTTAGAGGTATGTGTGTATGTAATACAACCTGACAGACTAAACTATGAGTGACATAGGATAAACTTCTAAGAAGGGTTGTAGCCTAAGAACAATACACACTTTGCAAAGATAGTTGTCCGAATTGAAACATATTTTTATGCCTCCATAAGTAGCTGCCATTTATTTCCTATTCAAACTCTCATTAAAGACAAAATCTTCTTTTGAAGGTCATAAAGATCTTACCAGTATCAAAATGTTATATGTGGCCAGAGACTTGCCTTTGAATTTCTGGGTAAAAAAGTGAAACATCCTTTTCTGAATGTATGCAATGATCTCTTAATTTGAAAACAGTCCAGGAGTAAACGAATGAAACACATTAAATTCTCAGAAATTTAGCTGGCCATAAATATTGTCTCAATGACAGAACAGATTATCTTAATGTTTCAGTTTGAAATTCTATATCTCTGTTCATATGAGTATACTAGTAGATAGAATATCTGTATCAGCTATTTGAATGTGAAAGCAACTTTTAATACTTGTAGTTCAATGCAGAGTTTTTACATTTCATTTAGACCATAGGCATAGCCATGGGGGTGGGGGTGCGATCACCAATTGCCAATAACCAATGAAATATAACCATGAGAAGAAGAAAAGAGCTTTAAATTAAAAGCTTTTTATGTGAAGCTTCTAGCTCAATCTATTATGAAAATTCAAGATATATCTTAATTGTTGGCTTCTTATGCCACAATCGCATCCCCTGACTGAAAATGGAATTTTTTGGCCCCCTGCCCTGACTGAAGGTGGCAAAGCCCCTGTCGCCCCCTGGCATTTTTAAACTTCATATAGGCAATAAAATAAAAAAGTTCTATCTGCATAATATCACATTGTGATCTAGATAGATAACTAGCTTGACTGACTGATATTCATTTGCCTTCATCATGTTATGTGGCTTACAATAGCCAGGATTTTGTGACTGGGAGGGGGTGGTTCCTTTTTTAAATTCATGCAAAATTACTTCCCCACCCTCCCCCACACTCAAATTACCTCATCTTACAATAAGTAATAGAGGTATCATAATTTGATCATTATGGAATTTATTTGATGAAAGTTTAAGATGCAGAAATTGTTCACAAATTGTGAACTTTAGATATCAAGTGCATCAATGAAAAATATTATAATTATATTCATTAATTTTGCACTAACAAGACTTGCGAATGGTCTTTAAAAAATAAAAGTATCTTTTATCATTATGAAATAAATAAAATCACAACCATTTTTTAGGGATAAATATGAAGTCCCATGCGCAAAAGTTGTCAAAACATTTTCAAAGTCGTGAATTACTTATAACTCATCTCTAGACTTAGATACCATTTGAGACAGTAATCCATTTAGGCTCGTTCTATTTTCAAGATGACATCTGAATTCAACTTACTTTTGAAGTGTGAACTAGGCATGAAGTATAAACTACCCTAATAAATTAATTAACTCATGTTTATTTGATTTTAACAATGGCCATTGTCTCTATCAAAAAATATAATTATACCAAATGAAATTTGGTACTCCATATTCCATTTTAGAATATTTAACTTGAAACTGGGGTAAATATTATATCTGTCTCTGGGTAGTATAGGACATGTTTTGTATACTAGTAACATTTTATCTTATTTAGTCTTGAATACTTCAAAGAACACTAGATATTTGCCTTTAAAAATACATTGAATCAGACTGCAATCTGTCTATGAGAGGAGGACAGTGAGTTCACTCTAGACTAAAACCAAGAAGACAAACCCATAACTTACATCTTATCTAAATAATCTGTCAACTTAAACACTAACGAGTTTTCCAGAGCTGATCAGATTTGATCAGAACTTTGCAGTTACCGTATTCTCTGTAATTAGCGCCCAGGGCGTTTAGAAAATTGAAAATACATTATTTAGACCATTCTAATAAGCGCCCATGTATGAAAGAAATCAGAAATCCCGAGGAATTTCATGTATGGCAATTTTTCTTGACAAGAATGCATTTTCTTCAACATATTTTTATAATAATATGACAAGTGCTGTTATTGGAGAGAATACGGTAAAGATCGCTTACACAATATTGACAGTGGTTGAAGACCCGTCTATGTCTAATTTATTTCCGGCACGCCCACTTTGTCATTATCGCCGATTACCTTCAATATTTCCACTAGAGACTGCTGGATATCGATCTAAAGTTATACATTATTTCTAATTTGATGAGAGATCATCATTATTCGTGCAAAAGTCGTGTAAAAGTCGAGAAACATTAAAAAGAAACCAGAAAGTTCACGACCTTGACATGCGCAGAACATCTGCGCAGTAGCTTTTGAAATTTCTGAATGCCGATAAAGAACAATTCCTTCATTCATTATGGCCTATTTGGAGACAATATTAGCATGGTATTGTGTGGGAAGCACCCATCGATAGATATGTATCAAGAGGATGCATAGAATTACAAAACGCGTCGTGTTTACAGCAGTTTTAGGGTAAGTACTCTATTATCGCCCGCTCCTGGATTTTGAGAAATATTTTTTTCCTGATATATTCTTCAATTCTTGTTGATTCCTCGATGTTTCTTGAACTTTGTGAAGCGGGGTGGGCGCTTATTAGAGAGTGGGCGCTAATTACAGAGAATACGGTATCTGGAGGACTAAAAATATCATTGTCATGTCAAGTTCACTTTTTCTATTAATTATTCAATGTCATGTAAAAAGTCTAGTAACCCTCGTATTGCTTATCTAAAAAAAACATCTGGCGATGACATCAGCTCAGAAGTAGATTAATTTTACTAATTTTTGGAACTTTTTTTATCAGCATTTGTAAATGTCCTTGAATGTTGTTATTAACCAAGAAAATGTTATTGTTTTTGCATTTTTAACACTGAAATAACAAGACACACAGTGATAAATATCGCACTTTGAAGAGCAAACTGGCCACCATGCAATTTACCCAGCATGGCCAAAACCTAATCAGACCTTGGCACTAGTCTGCTCTTGCATCTGTAAACATTTCAAGTTGACAAGGTTAGCGGTTTTCCTGCAATTTTGATGACAAGAATTTATTTGTAGTCTTGAACTTTGGGAAAATTTAGATAACATTGTTTGTGACCTAATTTGATGACCTTCGACCTTGAAAATTTCACTTTTTCAGACCTCAGTAGGTGTTTTGTAATTAAGCTGACCTAAATTTAAATCCAAAATATCAATTTAGAAAATCAAATTTTTGACCTTTTCAAGGTCACTGAAGGTCAACGAAAGATCAAATCTTAAATCTAAGGTCAGATTTGAACTTCTGAGAACTTGTAGATGTTTTAAAAAAACAATTGGTCAATTTGGAGCAAGTTGAAAAATTCAAAATGGCCACCAAATTGAAAAATTCAAAATGGCCACCATGTAATTCAGCCAGCATACCCAAAACCTAATCAGATCTTGGCAATAGTCTGCTCTTGCATCTGTAAAAATTTCAAGTTGAACGGATAAGTGGTTTTCCTGGAATTTTGATGTCAAGATTCGTTGAAAAATTCAAAATGGCCGCCACGTAGTTTACCCAGCATACCCTAAACCTAATCAGATCTTGGCACTAGTCTGCTATTGCATGTGTAAAAATTTCAAGTTGAACAGGTTAGCGGTTTTCTTGGAATTTTGATGACAAGAATTGATTTGTAGTCTCAAACTTTGAGAAACTTGGATAACATCAATTGTGACCTAGTTTAATGACCTTGACCTTCGACCTTGAAAAATTAACTTTTTCAGACCTCAGTAGGTGTTTTGTAATTAAGCTGACCTAAATTTAAATCCAAAATATCAATTTAGAAAATCAACTTTTTTTACCTTTTCAAGGTCACTGAAGGTGAATGAAAGGTCAAATCTGAAATCTGAGGTCAGATTTGAACTTCTGAGAACTTGTAGATGTTTTTAAAAAAAAAATTTGGTCAATTTGGAGCAAGATGAAAAATTCAAAATGGCCGCAAAATTGAAAAATTCAAAATGGCCACCATGTAATTCAGCCAGCATACCCAAAACCTAATCAGATCTTGGCAATAGTCTGCTCTTGCATCTGTAAAAATTTCAAGTTGAACGGATAAGTGGTTTTCCTGGAATTTTGATGACAAGATTTGTTGAAAAATTCAAAATGGCCGCCACGTAGTTTACCCAGCATGCCCTTAACCTAATCAGATCTTGGTACTAGTCTGCTCTTGCATCTGTAAAAATTTCAAGTTGAACAGGTAAGCAGTTATCCTGGAAATTTGATGACAAGATTTGGTTTATGTGCCGCCCGCCCGCACGCCCGCCCGTCCAACAGCACAAGATGACGACAATATAGCACTTTTTCAAAGTGCGATAAAAATGTTCCTCTACCTGAACTTCTACATGGAATTTTGGATGTGTCTAATGAATATCTTTTTTGATAATTGGGCTATTCATCAATACAGAATATTGCATATACATGTACTAAGGGAGCATTTCAAATTAGTTCCGACATTGTTCCTGGGAATTTCATTAATGTATGCTCTTTTCGTCTTTTTGAAGCTTTTTTCAAATATATTTGGCAAATATGAAAACCATGTCAATGGGTCCAGGAAAATCAAGAAAGTATGAGCCTTAAATAACACATATTAAAATTTCTCAAACACAGTTATGAGGCAGGAGGGAGGTGATTCACAGATCTGAAAAGTAACAAGTCTAAAAAAATCTCTCAGCACCTGCAAGCAAAAAATGGTGGGTCCCTAAAACCAAATTTTGGCCCCAAATTTTGAAAATTCAAGGCCTGTTTTAAAAAAATTTGGCTAAAAACTAATAAAAGTAAGAGTTTCATAGTTGGTCAGTGATGCCAAGTGTCCCAAATATTGATTGAGAATAAACTATAACAGCTTTTTTACAAATTGTTTAATTTTATAACACTGTTAACACATGTTTGATTCAACAGAAAAACAGGGCAGATATTGAAACATTAAAACATCTTTAGGATAATTCAACATATTTTCTTTAATTCCAGGGAAGCGTGTGTGCCCAGGAGAAGCAGTGGCCAAAATGTCATTATTCTTGGTATTAACATCATTGCTCCAGAGATACCACTTCTCAGTGCCCCCTGGTGAGAGCCCACCAAGTCTAAAAGTGAAACTTGGTTTAACATTGGAACTGGAGACACCCTACAAAGTTTGCATTACAAAAAGATAAAGACTTGTCGGGTAAATGGTGCTAAATCCTGCTGTTAAAATTCAGACAGTTGAAAGAAATTAGTTATAACTTTTCCACAGAGTTCATGACTAAGTCTGACACATGATTGCCACAATTTAACAAATTTAACAATTTTACATTTTTCAAAGTTCATCGCCATTGCCATTGAAAGTAGGCCAGCTTTGAGTTCAGAACCCTGGTTTTCAGTTATAGTTCTGTTACTCTGCATGTTACAATAGGTCAAGAAAACCTACTTAAATGATGTATACTCTAACATCTATGAATAGACTAGATGCCAGTAGAAATAATCTTGATATACATATATATACCACCTAAACTAATGAATATTGAAGTTTAAGGGGACATTGTAATACCCTGCCATGTTATCCATGTTATCTGGCCCGAATAAACCACCTGGTGTTGAAACTGGTAACTATCAACTCACATCATGTGCACTGAGCCATTTTCCAAACGATAACACTGACAAGAATATTAATATGAATACCAGAATAATCCAAATCAAATTGCCTAAAAATAATCATTGTTGTTACACTTTGTGCTTTCTCAGAAAGTTTTTTTTAATTCATATGCAAGTATTTTTTTGGTCAGCCAAAATACAGTCTTACACTCTTTCAAATAAATGAATTATAAGTAACTTTCTTGAGATCCGGACAGGACAAAAAACATCAATTCATGACAAGAAAAAAAAAAATATGATACCTAAATTTAGTCTTGAAAGGCATTCAAAATGTAAAATATGACATTGACCTTGTCAAATTAATGCACAAGCACATCTTTTCAAAAATTATATGTAAAGTTAAAAAAAATTAATAAGGGCAAGTATTCTTTAGAGAATGCTTTTATATGGATTCTCAAATAATCTACTTTAAGAAGTGGAAACGTGCATGAAATGAAAAGTTCAAATGTACACAAAGAATAATATCAATTTAAAAATACCTCAAAGGGATAACTGTAAAAGATGATAATTTCAGACATGAACTTTTCACAAAGAGATTAAGACAAATTGAATTATATACAGAGTAATACTCATCACGAGTGAACATTCAGACAAACCAAGAAAGACAAGATAATATATCATGTTGAACCACAAATTACATTTAAATGGGTCAAAACATCATCCAGCTGACATCTGATATAGATTCTCATGTACCTGGTTATTCAACATTTAGCATAATTCATTTATCATTCATTCAAAAAATTGGATTAATATTGTGCCACATACACATCGCGCTGATATTTTAAAATTTTAACATATGATGCTGATGTTGTACATACAGTATATTTTTATCTTACAACTTTCCTGTATTTTAGCATTCTCAAGTTAGTTTAGTTTAGTTTTAGTTTTGTATATTGTATACTGAAGTGTCATTGTTATGATATGAGAAAGTCAATGAAAGATATATCATGAACATAAGAAAATATTTGGGTGTCACTCTCTTTTGGTAAGCCAGATATTAGGGCATTAGGCCCTTATAAATTAGAGGTCTGTTTAGCAGTATATACTGGGTCATCCAAAAACCATTCTGTTCATAGAATTTTATATTTTTCTGAAAATAATCCTGGTAATGGACAATTAATCTATTTTGCTTAGTCACATACTTTACTGTGATACATATAGCATTGTATCTTTTTAGATGTACAGTACAGTAGAACCTGTATATCTGAACACCTGGCTAATCCGAACACCTTCCAATTTGAACACTTTTTTTCGGTCCCATTTTTTCCTCCCATTGACTCCCATGTTAAATAAACCTTGAAATCTGAACACCTCCTAATCTGAACAGTGAACAACCAGATATGAAAAAGTGACCTGTCTAATATGAACATTTTTATCAGAAATCAAATGTCTGGACATTTCAACAATAGCCACATATTGAGTCAATGTTATAGTTGTTATTTATCTTTACAAATACATGCACAATGTAATCAAAGAACCAATACTGTCCTAATTAACTTACTTAGTCTCAGTGACATCCCTTATTTGTGGAAAACAACAGGATGATTTGAAAAGGTGTGAATACAGGAGTTAATTGGTTTATCCTATTAGAAAAGAACTGAATGTTTTATGTTTGGATTAAGAGAAAGGTGTGAATCAAGAAGATAATTGATTTATCATTATTGGAAATTACCTGGATGTTTTTGATTTGGATTAAGAGAAAGGTGAGAATCTGGGAGATAATTGGTTTATCCTTATTGTAAATTAACTGGATGTTTTTGATTTGGATTATGAACAGGTCTTAGATGTTTTATATCCCATGGGTCTGTTATGATAGCTAAGATTCAATCAGTAAATGTTTTATAATCACAAAGACAACACAGACACAATTGCAGACAAGATTTCACGAGAAAGAGAAAAATTCAACTTCGTAATAACCTATCACTAAAATCTCGAATGAACACTCATGAAAATTTTTTTTCTTGAAGAGGATATCTATTCAAATATTGCTAATGCTAAAAGTGCCAAAAAACAAACAACAATGAAGGACTTTTTCAAGCAAAAGTAAAGCAGTGCTATATAACCATAATATGGGATAAGTCATTTGAGAAGCATAAGATTTCGTACGAGACTATCATATACTTATACTGTCAGTGTATTACAAAGTTTTTGCCAAAATATAAGTTATTTTTACTAAAATAATGAAATTGTTCAAAATGTAAATAAAAATAGCATATAGGCTATAGGCCTATTGTAGAATAGACTCATCAATAACATGTATTGTTTTCTGACTTAGTAATAAGTGTTCGATATAGTGGACTTAACAATGAAAATCACCCCTCCCCCGATCAACAATATCCTCGAAATTTGAACACCTGCCAATTTGAACGCTTTTGGCTGGTCCCATGGGTGTTCGGATTAGACAGGTTTTACTGTATATTAAAATATACTAAATAACTGTAACTGTAACAATAACTGTAAAAGATGATAATTTCAGCGTGAACTTTTCACAAAGAGATTAAGACAAATTGAATTATATACAGAGTAATCCTCATCACGAGTGAACATTCAGACAAACCAAGAAGAAAAAAATGACACGATAATATATCACGTTGAACCACAAATTACATTAAAATGGGTCAAAACATTATCCAGCTGACATCTGATATAGATTCTCATAGACCTGTTAATTCAACATTTAGCATAATTCATTTATCATTCATTCAAAAAATTGGATTAATATTGTGCCACATATACATCGCGCTGATATTTAAATATTTTTACATATGATGCTGATGCTGTACATATATTTTTATCTTACAACTACCCTGTATTTTAGCATTCTCAAGTTAGTTTAGTTTAGTTTTAGTTTTGTACATTGTATACTGAAGTGACTAATGTGTCATTGTTATGATATGAGAAAGTCAATGAAAGATTATCATGAACATAAGAAAATATTTCGGTGTCACTCTCTTTTGGTAAGCCATTAGGGCATTAGGCCCTTATAAATTAGAGGTTTGTTTAGCAGTATATGCTGGGTCATCCAAAAACCATTCTGTTCATAGATTTTATATTCTCTGAAAATAATCCTGATAATGGACAATTAGTCTATTTTGCTGAGTCGTATACTTTACTGTCATATGTTGTGTCTTTTTAGATGTATGGTAAAATATACTAAATACTAAAATATTATATAGAAAATAAATATAAAATCTTAACAAATAAAATACTACTGTATACTAAAATACTATATGAGTCATGTATAATATACACTGTATGTAGTATAGTTTTGAGTGTTTTTGAGAAAGACATGTTCACTAGGGGACAGATGGTTCAGATTTTAGTGAAAGTGCATTCACGACGATAATTGTCCTGCAATTAAATTTCCGTTGAAAAACTGAACCGAGAGATTTTTCCAAACCATCAAGGCTAATGACGGTCGGAGCTCCATGGCTTCGGTTAGCCATCTGACTGTTAATGTACACTGACAGTGATGGATGTTTTGCTATCAATAATTGTAGATCACTACTGGAAATCAACTATCAAGGAAGAGACACATAAGCCTGATAATATCTGTCTTAATTTTCATTAGAAACACCGAGATATTGCGGAATCCACATTTTTTCTGTGGAATCCATTTTTCATTGCAGAGGAGGAGTGATATGTGTAGTTATAAATAATATACCTATGTAACAATGCAAGATCATATTATTATAAATATTGGAACATACATTACTTTTGTTTGATTTATATCAACGAGAATGACTGATTTACCAACTTTTTGTTATTGTTTTAACAATTTCTTGAATACAACAGATTTTTTTGGATCCTTGGACTCGTAAAATATCACAATTAGAATGTAATTGCCATTATAACTGATTTAGTAGAACATACATTCTTGGAAAACATTCCATATTTGACAAACATGTCTTCAAAACTAAAAAAAAATACAGTCCAAGAACTAAAATACCTGTATTTTTACTGCAACTTCCCGACCATCTAGGGTTGTCCCTCTGTGAACTTGGCCAATAGATGCTGCTGCAAATGGTTTATCGTCAAACGATTCAAATTTATTCCTCCAATCATTACCAAGCTCAGTCCTCATGGCTTTCTGCAATGAACATTTGTGGATAGCTTAAAAAGGGGGGGGGGGGGGGGTGGGGGGGGGTGGCAAAATACTAATAATATGGGGTTGCTTATTAGATCTATGTGTTTAGGTTTAATCATATGTACAATTCATGTACATTGAATGTCAACAAACATCCAAGAATAGACATAAAATTCTGAAAACGTATACATGTACATACATATAGGTTTATTGTCTTAAATACTTTCTGAGATGGCAGGAACACATACGAGTGTGCCATCTATTTGTCACAATCACAAATAGAAGCAATGTACAATCAAACACTCAATTTCACATGGCTATGAAATCACGACAACTATTTCGGAGCAGTTATATTACATCAGTTTTAATTATATATCAGACCCAGATACTAGTAGAACATGAATCATAGATCAAAATCAGGAGAATTAACGATATTTGATGCTTTTATCATAAAAAATTTACCAGGGTAAAATATCAATGAATAAATACAAGGAGCACACATATCTCAAACTCGCAACCTCATCTTTACAACACCTATATGCCTAGCTTGACCGTGCTGGTACTCAGTTCCTCTTGGCCAACTTGACAACACAAAAAAGGTTGTTTTCTTGGTCGATCTGACAAGAGACAGCAAATGTTAATGCTTGAACACACCAGAGGGAGAACAACGGACATTTTCTACACACACACATTGCTCAACTGTCCTTAATTCTACGTCATCCTAAATTCTAAGTAATTCTACCTTGCTAATAAATAAGGGTTATGTACTGAGAGGTTTTGGATATGGGGTTTATCCAGAGGGAGATATGCATATCTACCTGAGGGACCGTAGGGACCGAAGGTAGATGTGCATATCTCACGAGGGATGAACCCAATATCCAAACCAACCGTACATAACTGCTTTATCATATACCAAGTAGAGTTTTCTAATTTTCTTTCAAATTTTTTTCAATTATTTTTTGATTTTTTCAATTTTTTTCACATTTTTCTAATTTTTTCTAATTTTTTTTCTATTTTTTTTATTTTTTCAATTTTTTATTTTTTTCACATTTTTTCTTTTTTTTCAATTTTTTCTTATTTTTCAGATTTTTTTTTCGAAGCGGGAAGATATGCCCTGGATCTTGAGATATGGCTGGAGATATGGAGGTTCAGGATATGGAAACCTCAAAATCAGGATACAGGATATATCTTACCAACTTATCTCCCTAAAACTCTACTTGGCATAGGATAAATAGGGGTTATGCACTGGGAGGTTTTGGATACAGGGAATATCCCGAGGGATATACAATATAGATGTATTGTATATCCCAAGGGATATTCCATGTATCCAAACCGACCGTGCATAACTGGTGTATCTCATACTTGAGTGGGTTTAGGGTAGATATAACCTTTTCCCAATTTTTCAAATGACAAGATATTTATATTTAACATTTTCGTAATATTCTTTTTGTTCAATACAATGAAATTGTAAAATTTAAACTTAAAAAAATTAAATTTTAAAATTAAAAAATTAAAACTTTTGATATTTAAACTTTTTTAAGCTTTTGAAAAATTCCCGGGAGCAGGATGGATATATTATATCTGCCCGCATTTGGCCTGGAGCGGGACATATACAATATATCCTGCCCGCTCCTCAGATACGATATATATTCCCGGGTGATATCTACCCCAAACCCACTCAAGTATGAGATACATATGGATATCTTATTGTAGAAAACAAAGTGCCTTTTCTTCTTCCATTTTAACAGTGAATTTTTTTCAAAAAGTTTGATAGTCGATTTTGTTATGTTATTACCATGTCGTGAAAAACCTCCGTTAATTATGGATTTTAAGACACAAGTGACACAAAAATGCATTGAATGAAGATAAACTGTGATCATATATTCGATTCATGGTATCTCATGGTACCTATTTCATGTTAGAGAATAATAAACATTTTGAAGAAGGGTTTTGAAATGGGTTTGTCATAAAATTGTCGCTGGGCCTTTGATCTGGTGCTTATGTACCATTAGTGTACACTTATTTATGTATAATAAACATGTTCTGGTGAAATCTGCACACTACTGTTTATATACCTGTATGATGTCAATATTTCACGAACACTTACATCTAGTTGTGCTTTAGGCATGAAGTCTGCGCTTTGACGCACTCTCTCAAATATCCTCTGGACATCTGGGTTGATCATTGAACTATCTGTAAAAACATTGATAAAGGAAAATATATTATACATTGTATAGCATTATAAAATGATGGAGGGTTTGATATATCGAACTTTCACCTCGAGGGATAAAATATCACACTCTTTCGATATATCATATAATAATGCACAAGAAAATTTTTTTAATTCTGAACAGCATAGGACTTTTTTTCATTTTATTCGCCAAAACAATACAGCAAACTCCTCAGTTATTTTTTTCAAAAAGCCTAGTCCAGGCTCTCATTATCATGCCCTCATACATCAGATTTCGATTGCCAAAACTGTTTCATAAATTCTAACGTCATGAACGCAATGAGGTCAAGTCATTTTTTGTTTGTTTAAAATTAACTTTTTATACTGTTGCGATAATGTACCATACATAATAATGAACCAGCCCTGTCCTAAAAATGACTACCTTGTATACTCAGCATTTGCCCCAGTTTCAATGCTGCTCCCCTAACTCTGCACAGTGTATTCACAATACGCTCAGCATTGGCGTCACTAAGTAAAGGGTTTTTGTCCAATACACCAATCTTATCACCTAAAATATATTACAAGTTATATTTTACAATATGTACAAATACGTTAAAATTTATTTACTGTACAAAGAGACAGGATATGTGAAGAACAAACTTCTAGTGAAAATTAGTGAACTGCAATCTTGAAAGTGTTGAAAGTATAAAATGCAAACACCATTTATTGCTATTTTATTCTGAAGCCTTTTCCATTGATGTTTTGATCTCAAGGTAGAACGTAGGTACATTATGAAATTTTTGAGCTTATATACAGAACTGATATACAGAACAACCTTGACTTACTGCTATCACTAAGCCCCATGCCTCTTCTAGCTACCTCTGCCATGGCCCCTACCCCCAGGCCTGCTGCCAGGCTACCATAACTCATCAGTCTGCCAAGTCTCGAAGATGGCACACGACGTTCCCGCGCTCTGTCACTAAGCTAATAATAAAAAAGGATGTACTTATTACACATTCATTTTACATAGAGCGTTTTACAGGAGAAAGGGACTGTTGAATTTAAAAGGAGCAATCAAGAAAAGGTAAATTAAAAACGTGCATATGAAGTAATATCTTACATGTAATTCATACAATGATATACAGTAAAAGGGATGCAGTGATGGATTGAAAAATATAAATACAAAGTACTGACTTTATAACAAATTTACTATATTTATACAACTTAATGTCATACATAGTTTGAAATTAATATAGAGCATACATCATCATAATTTTAATGTAGAATCCTAGTAGCCATGTATTCTCTCTATTGGGAGGAAATTTGTTAAATTGAAACTTACTGATTGACTTAACTTTGCACCTATGGGTTTGTTCCTATTTGGTTTAATGGGTGTTGGAATAGGTTTTGCATCATCACGTCCAGCTTGGTCATTAATACTGCCCTACGATGAATCAGATTAATCATTTAAGTTAAAATACATGAAGTTATACTTTTAATTAGACTTTCATCAAATATCAAACTGTTAAAAGCAATCTATCAAAAATGACGTCAATGTGTTCCTTACAATCCAAATTTTATTGAAAATTAAAAAAAAAGTATTGAGGTATCTTTTCAAATACTGTACAGAAATTATTTCACAAAAGTCTTAACTATCACTTCTTAGAAAATAAAAATAAGCATGACATGGAATGTTGAGAAAAATATTATAAATAATAGCTTTTTTAATTAGAACTGCATCCTTCTGGCAAAAAACTGGAGAGATAACTATATTTTCCATTTGCTAATTATATTTTCATATTGGAAACATATCTGGGTTTAAATAATTACATGTATTAATTTTTTCTGATATTTGTCATGCTTTTGTATATCTATACATATCATAAATCATACGCAACTGTTATCGGTTTTGAGCATATTCATTATAAAACATTATTGACACATGCTTAATAGTTGAGGTTAATCATAACATTAAATATGTATGTAACTTTATGTTTTTTCCACTAGGATTATTAATAGTAATAAATATTGATGAATTAACCATTGTCCTGAAAACATTAAATTACCCCATCTCTCAAAAAATTTAATATTATTGCAAAAATTATAGCAAAAGATAAGATAGCAAATAAATTGCAGTGTGAAAAATATAATATTTCAATGTCCAGAATTCCAAAAGATTGCTCCAAAATCGTTTTTGGGATATATTCTTGAATACCATTCACTGGAATGTGTGATGTTAATCCTTTATATATTTGTATGTGTTTTATCAACCCTCTGGTGTCATAACTAGACAACAGCAAAGCCAAAGCAACAGCAATGCCATGGCTGGCATTTTTACAAACAAAGTATATAGCAAAAATGGGAGCTTTTTTCAAAATGGCCATCTTCTACCAAAAGTGTCATTAGACAGTGTGCCATGCTTATAGTATTCACATACCAAATATGAACAAAATCGCTCCACTATTTTTTGAGTTAGCACAGGATTTCATTCTGTGTTTTCATTAAATAAATACGTTAAAATGGTGGCCATTTTTCAAAATGGCCACCTTCTACCAAAAGTGTCATTAGACAGTGTGCCATGCTTATAGTATTCACATACCAAATATGAACAAAATCGCTCCACTACTTTTCGAGTTATAGTAAAATACGTTAAAATGGCGGCCATTTGGAAAAATCGGAAAAATAACAAGTAAAGGCTGCCATTTTTCAAGATGGCCACCATGTGCTTCTTTAATATCTACATTTCTAGCTTTATAGGTAGTAAGCTAGGACACAAAAATGTTTTTACCAGTGAACAAATTGAAATTACTTGTTTCTTATGTATTTTTATGTGATACTTCAGAAATTTGTTGTCTGACGCGCCATATCCGGGGCGAAAGTTACCAAAGTGGGGGTTTTTGACCCTAATATAGAAAATAACAGGGGGTACTTTATTATCCTTGAATAACTTTTTCAGTTGATCTTTAATCATCACAATAACTTTACTGGAAGTTGTTAATATCATTCTTGATTAGTATGCAAAGTTTCAATGATCTGTCATTAATGGTTGTCATGGAAACCATGATCTTTGTTGAAAAAGTCCATAATTTTGGTAAAACCTATACCTGTACATCATAAAGAATGGGCATTATTTTTCAAATCAACAGATATCAGAACATGTTAGGACTCTAAAAATTATCAGGACAGTTCAGACATTTGTTTAAATATAATGGATATTGTTATTCACATGATTGGTAAGTGTCAAAGACCATACAATTACAAAGGTGATCAAAAGTGGGCGTCGCCCTTATAATAGTAGATGATTACCATTCCCTTTAAATACAGATTTTAAGTTGACTTGCGATACAATTATAATGTACTTCTATTGCCATAATCTATATCAAGCAATTCTGGTAGATACATATAAGTGTTGTAGGTATTACATCATGCTTGGGATGATGGGTACATGGGGGGGAGGGTGGTAGAGGTACCCAGCCTTATATAAAACTCATATACAAAGTTTAATTTCATGTAGTACATCTTTTGGATCTTGTTCTGATTTATCTCAATATATAGGATATTGCAATTTACATTATTGGAAAGTGTATAAGACCATACAATACAACAAACATAAGTGTTTAAAAGTGGGGTTTGCCTTCATAATAACAGGGTTCATACACCTTTTTTAAAATGAAATTCCGTGACATTTCCAGGCAAAAAAGGAAATTCTTGCGCAGCCTACTAAAAAGTCTCAAACAACTGTACAAGACTTATAATGAAACATTTTACCCAGTACCCAGTAAATGTCAAGGGGGTGAAATTCTTTGGGTTTGCATCACTATGAGTGAAGCGAAACCCAAAAGGGAATACTGGGGTTCACCTCCCAAAATTTTAAAAAATTTGCATTGTAAATGGTGCATTCTAAGCATTTCAAACTATAATTTGTCAACTACTGATCATTGTTAACATTATATGATAACAATAATCTGGCATTACTATTGTCTTCACCCCTTTGGGAAAATCCACACCAAGATATGACACTATATTAGAAATTCCTTCTCAAGTAGCGTCACTATACGGAATAGTCCTATGATACCAAATAAAAAATTCGGTATTTGTGTTATCAGGAATGTTACCTCATCTGAAAACAGCAACTTTTTGAGTAGCAACAAGCTTTTTTCTTGAACAGAGTCATGTGCCCATCTGCAAAATAAATCTGAACCAAAAATGGTGAGTGTCTTTTTGAGCAGAGGCCCCATATAACCAAAGCATCAGTATATAAAGTCTGATATTTGAGTTATTGCCTTGACAGATGGGCAGGTGAATAGACTGACTTAAGACAGCTTCTCATATAAATACAGTTTTACACAGAATCGTTATTGTTTTTCACCACCCACCCTCCTCAGATTAAACCCTCAACAAAACATGAAACATATACCAATAATTAACTATGAATGGCCTAAGACTAACTTACTACAAGGAAAAGCATAATTGTATTGAACCATCTATACATACTGTATATGTATATTCTTTATTGTTCGGTTTCAGTATAATGTTCACAATGTTCTTATAAATAGACAATACCGGATAGATTGTCATCCAATCAACCCTAATGAAAATATTTCCAATTAGTGGAAACAACTGAATGTTAGAATTTGAATTTCATCGATATCCTGTCATAGCCTAAAATGTATTTTGCTGGAACATTATATTTTCAACATTGATACAAAATACCCTGACATATCTACTGTTTCAAAATTCCCGGACATTTTTGTCTCTTTTTGACCCAATTTTAACATTCCCTGACATTTCCAGCACCTGGAAAAATCAATTTCCTTGTCATTCCTCATCATGAGAAATGATGTTTTTCTATTCTAAATTCTAAATATGGAGTATAACTTATAAGATACAATTATACTGTATTTCTGTTATATTACCATAATTCATATCTAGCATTTCTGGAAAACACATATAAGTCTTGAAGTGGGGGGATAGAATGGGTGGGGGGGGGTTTGCAATGCTAGTCAGCCTTAGGTATAAATCTCATCAACATTGTGTCTCATAGTCAGTACATTTCTTGGCCTTGCATTTTCTTAGCATATTGTGGTCTTTTCCAATCATTTAACATTAACTGGCATAGTTGCTTCTTGTTTGCATCATTCTTCAAGAACTCATTCCAATCTTTTGGGACTCTTATATTTCTCCCTTTGGTTAAGTTGCTGCCAAGCCTCTTCTCATCCTTTCATACCAAAATATGTGAAGCCCTCCCAGCATTTCACGCTTTCACTGGTTGTAACACTGTGAGTGCCTTATGGTTCGGAGGGGCAAAGAAACACCTTTCAAAACAATGGCAAAGGGGGACAATCATACAGACACATTCAAAGGACTAGGACTCTCAGCAGACATAAATGAGGAAACAACCAGTAAAGGAGAAAAAGTTTGTTTACCATATAAATGGTGTTTCATATGTATGCACCTCATACATTTAACTCATACATGTAGCTTTGCCACCCTATCATGTTATATATCATTTTGTTCCTATTATGAAAAGTTACATGGGACTGGAAAGTTTCAGAATAAAGAGGTGTCCCTAAAAAAAGATACAATCCAACAAAATATGTGGGTAGGGGGTCATTTACATATGTATAAGCAGTTTTGTAAGGATTTTTATGCCAGTCCGGTGATCTGTTCACTGTGTCTGCTACCCAATTTTAGTGATAAAGATGGTCCCACGGTTCCTGACCTCCCTATAAGCCACTGCATGAATCTTGTCAATATATATTTGTGCATAACTGCCACAGACATGTGGACTGAGCTCTGCCATGGTGACAATAGCAAGAAATGTGCAAAACGTAAACTAAATTTGTCCTTTAAATTGTCCTCAAAATCACCAGAAATTGCCATCTAAATGACCGGTACCCACAATCTTTGATAGATTATAACTTTTGTCAGTGACACCCCTGGATTCTGAAACTTTGGAATCCTATGTAACTTTCCATAAGGCACAAAGTGATATATAATATGATACGGTGGCAATGCTACATGTATGTTTAGAGGGGGTGCATACATATGAAACACACTGTATACTAGTATAGGAAACCTCAAATATCTCACATCAACAAAGTCAGATATGTGTTATTTAAAGAGAAGTTTAGGCCCCATACTAAAACAATAACTGACTATGAAGGAACAGATATTACTCTACCTCCCCCTTGTCAAGACTCCCCATGCCTCACTTAGCAAGGGCCAACTTACAGGCACTTATCTGGCGTATGGCCCATTTTGAAAAAGCTAATATTTCAGCACCAGATGGTCATGGGTGGAAACATAATGATTCTAAAAAACCTGGAAGATCAATGGGTAACAACAGATATTCTACCACAAGAGATTGTTGATATCTTAACACCAGGGAAAGAATCAGAAGATGACCCAGGAGATTGACCCTATAAGATCCAAAATTATGTTGATGAGATTTATAACTAAGGCTGACTAGATTTGCCCCACCCCTCCCCACATTGACCCCCCTCCCCCATCCTGATGGAATAACATCAATACTTAAATGTGTTTTCTAGAAATGCTTAATATGAATTAAGGTTATAGAAATCCAGTATAATTGTATCTCATAAGTTAAACTCCATATTTATAGAAAATGGTGGTCTTCTATTATATCATTATGAGGGCAAAGCCCATCTTTGATCACATTTGTATTGTAATTGTATGGTCTTTGACACTTTCCAATAATGTAAATTGCAATATCCTATATATTGAGATAAATCAGAACAAGATTCAAAAGATGTACCACATGAAACTAAAACTTTATATATGAGTTTTATATAAGGCTGTGTACCTCTACCCCCCCCCCCCCACTGTACCCCCATCCCTAGCTTGATGTAATACCTACAACACTTATATGTATCTACCAGAATGGCTCGATATAGATTATGGTAATAGAAGTACATTATAATTGTATCTCAAGTCAACTTAAAATCTGTATTTAAAGGGAATGGTAATCATCTACTCTTATAAGGGCGACGCCCACTTTTGATCACCTATGTAATTGTATGGTCTTTGACACTTACCAATCATGTGAATAACAATATCCATTATATTTAAACAATTGTCTGAACTGTCCTGATAACTTTTAGAGTACTAACATGTTCTGATATCTGTTGATTTGAAAAATAATGCCCATTCTTTATGATGTACAGGTACAGGTTTTACCCAAATTATGGACTTTTTCAACAAAGATCATGGTTTCCATGACAAACATTAATGACAGATCATTGAAACTTTGCATACTAATTAAGAATGATATTAACAACTTCCAGTAAAGTTATTGTGATGATTAAGGATCAACTTAAAAAGTTATTCAAGGATAATAAAGTACCCCCTGTTATTTTCTATATTAGGGTCAAAATCCCCACTTTGGCAATTTTCGCCCCGGATACGGCGCGTCAGACAACAGATTTCTGAAGTATCACATAAAAATACATAAGAAACAAGTAGTTTCAATTTGTTCACTGGTAAAAACATTTTTGTGTCCTAGCTTACTACCTATTATTAATGTGTTCTATATTATTTTACATTTAAAACATATTGCTATTACAGTTTACATATTTGCACCTAAATTACTGTAAAATCGGAACTAAAATGGCTGCCATTTTTAAATGAGCGGCCATTTTGAAAAGTGGCTATTAAGCAGAACTTCTACCCCCATAGGATATATGTGTACAACATATGAACAAAATCAGGCCAACAGTATTTGAGTTATTGCCAGGACGGACGGTCTGACGTATGTACAGACGGACAGACAGACAGATGGCAGGAGGCTTCCTTATATCCCTCCGAACTTCGTTTGATGGGATAACAATGACATATTCATCACTACAGTATTACATGCATGTACATCTCAACTTGAAAAATCTGGGGTACTCTTCAATTTTCCGGGTTATCTGGATTCTGTGTCACATCCTGAGTTTTACTATACTTTGTTTGATATTTTAGATCTGCTTTTAAGTTTGTGTTGCTGTATTCAATTTTTCTATAAATTTTTAAACTCATTGAATGAGTGTATATATATGTATTTTCAAATTGCGAACCTCAGATTTGCAAATTGATGATCACCATGAAATTATTTGACAGGTTTTCATAAAACCTGTTCGTCATCAGTGGAGTCTACTAAGTCTTATGATTAAACATATACAGTGTTCTCCACAGTATTTTTCTCAACTGGGTGCGAAATTCTCATTTTCATAATTCAAACCAGAATTGGTCAAAATTTGCCTATTTTGCATGATTTTTCTCATTTTCAAGTGAGGTAAATGGTTTTCAAAAACGCAGTTGGGTGCTGCACCAGTTGCTTTATTGCTGCAGAGATCAGCGATGTATATAATTTCCATAGCATTCACATAACCTTAAAAGATGGTAGACAAATCAAAATTATGTGACAATGAACCAAAGCACCTGAAAATGTTCTTAATGACAGGAATAACATGGAGCTAAGTAGCTATGACAACTAAATGTTGATATTTGAATTACCTTCATTGATGTGTCATTCTTGGTATGTAGCTGCTCATCATCAGTAGACATTTCTTCACGTATATGATTGGAATCATCTTTAGTTGTTGTTTCATATCTCAGAGTTGACTCATTCTCTGCTAAATCTGGTTTTACATCATCTTTAACAGACTGAGAACTGGCCATCATATTATCCTGCATAGAATCGACCACACGAGATGCTTGCTTAGACAATTCAGAAAAGTTTTGTTTCTGTAAATTTTCTATTGCTTTTGAAGCCTCTTTTGTTAACTCAGTAAAATCTTGCTTTTGTACACTTTCGATCACCTTTGAGGCCTGATGTGATAATCCAGTAAAGTCTTTTTGCTGAACTTTTTCGATCACTCTTGATGCTTGATTCTTTAGTTCAGTAAAGTCTTGCTGTTGCACACTCTCGACAATATTACTCGCTTGCTTGGTCAAATTTGGGAAACTGGTGTCAAGATTAGATTGTGATTTTTCAACTGTTGAGCTACATTTTTGTACTGCTTCTTTGATACTTGAATTGTTATACACACGATTGAGATTCCTGCCTTGGTGTTCGACGACGGCTTTGCTTATCATCTCCAAGCCCCTCACAAATGCCACTAGATCTGTATACCTTGACATATTGAGAAGGTGTATGCCTGCAAAAAACAATTGTAATTTTGACTTATCAAAAAATCTAGATTTAGTAAGCCTTTGGCAAAAGTTGTTTATATACCCTGGTTACCCCCATAAATGTAGGTTGATCATCCCTACAGCTACTTATGTATTGCGGTTGAAAATAAGCTGGTTTGGTGGTTATGAAATTCGACAAAATTGAAAGCCCATGGTAAAACTGATCAAAGGTACACAACGCTTACTCGAGTCTCTAACTTACAGCTAGATGTAACTTCATTGATTTCGTATGTAATCTAGAAAAAGTGTCACACGCACCTAGAACTCCTATTTAATAATTCTTATAAATACTTATAAGAATATTAATCATATTTAAGTTGAAGCATTGCTTGTCTGGATCAAGATATTTCAAAATTTCTTTTCGGAAAGAACCTCAAACTCAACAGATCCACCATTTATACAGCTCACTCACAAAAGAAGTGAGTTCCCCATTACGTCATCTCCCACAACTGCAGGATGCGATCACGTGAACAATCATGAGCACATGCTCTCTCAGGGCTGCGCATGTGCAAAGTAAATGTTGAAATAGTGGAAATGGCGTTAACATCGGCTCAATATCATCATTTTAAACCTACAGTAATACTATTGAAGTTACTCGATCCAAACTTGTAGAGAATACTCATAAAACTACAGCGAACATTGGGAGATTCAGTTCAATGGCAAATGAGGCCTGTTTATAAAATTGTTTTCGAACGGGCCAATATGAAAGGTCATCTTTGGGAAATCTCCCCCCCCCTGGCTCACTCACCAGGAAAATGGAGGCCATTTTGAAATGAAATTCCACTTCGCTAAATCAAAATATATATAAAAATCGATTAGAACCGGGATATAAGCTGATATTCAGCAAATGTTTTCATAAAGGTATGTTTCATATAATTGTGCCATAACAAATGTGCGTGTGTCACCATGATTTACAAATTCATTGAATATCAGGGCGGCGGTAAACAATCACCCAAAGCCGGAATATAGAGAAGGCTTTAAACCCAAGTAATATAAGGCGCTTGCCTCATTGCTTTTTGAAGAGGCTTGGAAATATTCTTCGCCTCTTCACTTTTTTCTTCCTGCCTACGCTACTAAATTACCTAATTATGCATTCAAGATACATAGACATCTAAATATGCCAGTAAGGCATTTTAATGGGGATATCTAGGTGTGGGGCACCTTGGTGGTATTTAGTACAACCCTAAGACTTCCTCTTGAATGATCATCACTGATCACCGTGATCATTGATAAAATCATGCTGAACTTACAACGCCTTTATCTTCCCCATGTTCTATACCAATATGAAAGTTATACCGAATGCATGGATCGACCTTACCTGAAGCTCTAACACTCGACTAGATGATCTCACAGTTGCAAAATTGTTAAGTATCGGCGTAAAATACAAGTTTACGAAAGTTTTGGGAAAGTTTCATAACATACTGACTAGGCGCCAAATTCAGAATGGATGTTCCGAATGACAATAAATAATAAAATCAACGTTATTTAATTTAATGGGATAAATTTAAACATCCAAAATATTTCATCAATTAAACAAAAGTATAGACTTTCCATACTATTAAAATTTATCCATTTGATGATTATAAACGTATTTAGAATATCATACGAAAAACGGACCTCAGATGCTAGCTTTCAATTATTTTCTGACTTCGGAAATCTGTTCGTATTTTCAGCAATTTGCACGACCATATGCGCCCTGCATGGAATACTCTGGTGCCTAGGAAGGTGTAAGTATGATGAATTAAATTATTGGTAATAATTTGCATACATATTGAAACTCAATGTTAAATTCTTTTGAGATTTTGACTGATCCGTGAGTGAATGTTCAGAAACACCAAACAACAAAGTTTTGAAAAAGAAACCACCTGTTTGTTCCTACAGTAGTCAGTGTTTCTGTTTTTCTCTCAAATCCAATATTTTTGCCAGTACACAAAACAAACTATAACATAGCTGTTTTGTTGTAGTATTTTATTGCTGTCATGTACCCAATCCAGGCACAGAACTGTCCTACTATGGGTTTGTAGAAAAAACTGGACACTGGATAGTAAATCCTCCATGCTGGGTTCAAACTTGGTACCCAATACCCGGTCGAAAAAACCGGGTACCCAAAAAACGAAATATACGAATATATAACATATATCATTAGAAAACGTGTAAGATTTGTTTTGAATTTACAAGAATGTATGTAACTTCCTTCAAAATTGAGCTAGAAGCTTCAAATAAAAAGCATTTAGGGTCTTTTACATTACATACATTTTTGTAAATTCAAAACAAATCTTACACGTTTTCTAATGTCATGTTTTGTTATTAGTGTTCTGATTGGCTCAAAAATAAAAATTTAGAAATACTAACCAATTACATTTGAATTTACAAGACAAATTAGATGCATTACAAAAGCGAACATATGATCGAATGTATTCTTGCCGATCAAAATTCTATTTATTCTGAGACTTAACGGCATCATGCATACAAGTTAAAGGTAATGTTTATTAACTTCACGGGGTGACTTCATGAACGTCTGCACGGGACTGCTGAACTTGCTTTCATGATTCTCGACCACTTAAAATCTACTAAAACGAAAAATGGAGTACCCACGCTAAAACACAATAAAATGGCAGATTTTTTTAATTCGTTGCATTCTCTCGATGAATATTTACCATTAGTTTCTTTCAAAATCATACTAAACTAACATTCTCTCAAATTAGTTCAAAATGAATGAAGGAAATAGTAATTTCATTTTGACATTGAACCAGGAAGTCTTATTGCGCTTATTTTCTGCGGAGGATGCCATGGACTTTCCTTATTTTCGCATCTTTTATATGACTTTTACTCGATAATTTATGATTTTTCATTAAATTAAGATCATAAGGTACAACTTTAGATAGATATCCAGCAGTCTGTAGTATAAAGAATGAAGATAATCGGGGAAAACCATTAATTTAATTCCCTGGTTTTTAAGCGGCTCATTTTGATATTTATGAGCCAACTTTGCGAATTCAGTTTGTATGTATAAAAGTTTATTAATACCTTGTTGGTGGTCATTTTGTCGAAATTTATTTGAATAATCAGATATTTTATATCCCTGAATTTATCTCAGTAATGTTAAACACTGAGAAAATATCCCTGGTCTACAAATCATAAAATAAGTTAGAATTAAACTACACCCTGGGATCACCCTAATTAGACCCGAGTGGCAATCACAGATAAACAACTTTTTTAGCAATAATTGAATAACATGTATAACATATTATCCCACCCTAAGTGCTTTATATGATTGTATAATAGCATTGTATAACTGCAATATAAAACCAACACCCATCGTATACAACTCTTGAGAACGATCTACAACTCCTGGATAGCGTATACAACTCCTGGGCAGCGTATACAACTCTTCGACTCGATATACAACTGCTGAATTTAGATTAACATTTTATTGATTGAAGATAAGGGTGGGATAATAAGATCATATAATGGTTGATTTTTGTATATCGCTATACTCTCGTGAGTATATGATATATTCACTCGTTCCCTTCGGTCACTCGTGAATATATCATATACTCACTTGAGTATAAACACGATATACAGAATCAACCATTATATAACCTCATATTATATATGTAGGACATAATCAGGTATTTTATATCCCTGGATTTATCTTGATATTGAAACACTGAGAAAATATTGTTTCCACAAAACAGAAAAAAGTTAGACTAAAACTTAGTGAGTTTTGAGCCCTGGTATGACCCTAAATAGACCTGGGTGCCAAACACATTACAACTTTTTTTTACATTTTATAAAGTTATATATCATAACAAAACATACCTTCTAGTAACTAGACATTTACATCAACTATCTGAGACGGATTCATTCTGGGAGTGATTGAAATTCGAGTTGCACCATTAGAAAGTGTAATGGCTGAAGGTAATCTATTTGACAATGGCAATGGAAGGTAATCACATTTCTGAACCATTAGTTTCAATGAGAACTAGAATTTATAATGAATTTTTCACGGAGCATTTTTTCTCTTATGAGTTAATTTCTTATTCTTCAGCAAATCTTCTTTTCATTATACATAGAAATAGATGGTTGTGACAACTTTAGTTTATTGAAATAGATTCATAGTCCTTCAAAAACAACCTTTTGAAACCAAACAGTGAAGTTTTGTGTATCATATTTTGATAACAATGGGTAAGACTACAATATAAGCCAAAAATGTTAAACTTTAAATGGGGCCTTTACAATTTTATTGAAACTTTACATGAGGCCTTTAAGTGATTAGAATCGTTTCACATTAAATAGAGATACTACAGTGTTCTCTCTTAAAAGGATATAAAGATTTGCTGATTTGTCAAGAGACACATTTAATTTCATTGACGCAAATAAGATATTGTCACCTCATGATTAAGATTTCTTTCATATTTAACCATATACTTAGATGTTAGAAAATCTTGAATTATCAGTTGCTATATTTATATTGTGCAATGTTAAATCAGTAGACATGATTATTGAGTCAATAAAAGAAACATATACTATATAAGCAGTTTTATTAGTACATCTATATTCAATATGCTTTGTGATAAGAATGTGAGGATTTGAAATTATGGCTTATCCTATTTGATAGTTTAATATTGCTTCTATAAAAGAACTCCATTTGCTATATTAATTAATTGCAATTACTCAGATGCGAGTAGGTAGTTACCAGTTTCGCCACCAGGTGGCTGATTCGGGGGAAATAACATAGCATGGTATTACAAAGTTCCATTAAACTTGAATATTCATCAGTTTTAGTGGTTCACTTTTCATATTACCCTTATGTTTCTGATAGTTATACAAATTAAAATATGTCCAGTAAAGGAAAATATTATCTGCCCGACACAAGAAAAGATATTTCACTTTTTGTGATTTTACAACATGGGGTCTATTGGGAATCTCCCCGACCTAGAAGTCACATTTTCAAAGAAAATTAACTTTTCAAAGTTGATAAACTCTTTTCAAAACTACATATCGAGATGTAATTTTACATGTAGATTCCAAATATAACATCAGTTTGACTGAATTTTTAATGACGTAAATCAAGATTATTTCTACTCGCACCTAGTTTATTGTTCCTTTCATCCTCGTGTTTATATTCATACCGCTGATATTGTATTGTTTTATTGCAAATGGAGATTTTCTGGTTAATTACTTCCAAAATATTATTCTGTTGATGCTTCAGAATTTATTTTTTGGCATTGTGTTTTGTGTAAAACATTGGTATTAGAAGGTGGCCTTCTGGCAAAGATTAATGTAAACATTTCTTCCTCAGTACTGCACCGTTCTATCACAAGGCAATTTAAATAAATTGTAGCCATAATAATTTGAGGAAATATATTTTGTTTTTCTCATTTGCGACTCTGGAGATAATTAAGTAGCAGAGCAAACTTAGTAGGATTTTACTGTAGTCACGATCCAGGTACTAAAAATAATTAAACTCATCTTATCTTGCTGAAGAAAACAAGTAACATATGATCAATTTTCAACCAATAAGCAGTGAGAATTAGCAATATTCGATAGGTTGGTTGATGGAGAAATGAATCTCATATAAGGCTTTCTATTTGTATTACATAATTCTAGGGTTATTGTCTGATATCATTCTGAGGCTCATAGGATGACTGTCTCTCTTCATTAAACCGAAAACTTCAATTTGTTAGTTTTTGAGCATTTTAAATGAACACATTTTAAATTATGTACCATATAAGAACATTAAAAATTCTATAAGTCCATTTATTATTCAAAAAGCTTAATTCAACATTAAGGTTTTTTAACATGGAAGTCTGTGGCATATTGAAAAAAGCCAGCGGAAAAATTGTTCACATAAAGAGGTGTTCAGCTTAGAGTGGTATCAGGTCTTTCTGTAATTATCTTGTACTCTGTTACTTGATTGGTTACTCCTTAGCATATGAATCATTATTTGCTTACCATTGTTAATTAACGATTACATTGTTCACTGATCTCAGCTGTTGATGTCCCTAGCCAACCCAATTAAGTTTATCATATGCAAGATTGTCATGTGCCAGGCAATATCCTTTGGGAACTTTAACACTCTCTTTGATTTCAACAGTTCTTTGAGTAAATACTGGGTAGGCATAAAAATCGGCCGCATTCGGGACCTGATATCTCCATAACCCTCTTAACGCTGTTTCTAAAAATTTGCACATGTAAAGCTAGTCGTCTACCAGATATGAAAATCAAATTTCAGTTTCATCCTTTAAATCAAAAACATATGTCAATCTTTGTTACACTTCAAAAATTGATCAATTGGTACAAATGTTTTTTTAATGAAATAATTGAGTTACAAATGTACTTCAGCATATTGTTCAATTTTCAAGGTAATAGATTGATACGGAGCTTTGATTAAAGCAAATAACCCTACGCCACCAGAAGTTGAATAACTTAAAGGTCTTTGCTGAAGGCATCGGTCGATAAGCTACCTGTGATGAAATGTTGTGATGATGCTATTATTAAATGGGGCTAGAATGTAACAGGTATTCCGTTTGGAATAATATGTGGTTTTGTTGTGACTCGAGAAACTTTCCCTAATTTAGTTAATCAACCCGCCTCGTTGGTAATGAGTAAGCAATAAACATGTTATGAAAAACATCCGCCTTGGGTAGCCACACTTCTGTAGATGACATATGTTGCGGAGACAGCATCAAGATCTCCTCGATGACAAAAAATATTTCAGACA